GGGTGTTTGGGGATGCTGCTGCAGAGAGTCGTGAAAACTCCTTCACCCGCTCGCGCAGTTCCAGTGTTTCCAGCATTGACCGCGACACCAAAGAGGCTGTCACCACACTGCAGTTCGGAGAGTCGTACGGGCGCAAGAACGATGTCCTGCCCACCCCGTGTCTGTGGGTGGGCACTAGCTTAGGCGTGGTGCTGCTCATCCCCATGTCCATCCCCACTGATCAGGAGGAAAGGATGGAAGAGCCTGTCACGATGGGCGTAAGTGGTAAGTACCACCGATACTGGGTTGTACTGCAAAAGTACCAAAGTTATTAGTCACCTTAAACTATACCTGCTTACATGATACTGCTGAAGCAACAACACTATGATACGGTCATGATTAGGGCCAGAGGTTCTCTGTAGTTTCACTGTAGTTCAGCAGTTTGCCATCATGCTAATGGGAGAGGACGAATGAATGAAGCGTCACAATATTCTGGATAGAGTCATGTATATTTGTATAGCAACAGAGACCAACAGCGATAGTTGTACCAGGCTGTGACTCGTGCTTGTTCTGGTGTAACATTTGTTTAAACCAGCCTGAAGTGGAGGCTCCAGGAACTGCAGGTTTTTCAGTATAATGTTTCCTTTAGGAGTTCATAAGGTGAGTTCAGTGCAGTGACTTCATATTACAAACGACTGTGTCGGAATGAGTCCCAATCAAAAGTTGAAAAACTGCAAAATTCATACTTTGCATGGTTGGTTCCAAGTAGAGCTTCAATCTGCAACAAGAAGAAATCTGAGTGAGACGAAACATTTTTTGAGCATGAAATTTATCGGAAACATCACTTAAACTGAAACAGGCTGTCACGGCTGAGCAGCCGGTGTGTTTGAGGAACGGACCCCAAAACAGAAACGAACTATGGTTTAACAAAGAGCCGTTGATTTAAGCTGATGAAAAAAGAGACAAGCAAGGCGAGTTGAAACAAGGGTGAAACTAAACTGAAACCTAAACTGGGAAACAACTGTGGCTAAATATGGAAACAATGACGAGAGACTAGAGCATGAAACTGAACAGGAACATGCGATAATGAAACTCTGAAATAAACCAAACACAAACCTGAACAGTAGAAGCAAAAACTCTATGACATGAAACAAACAGACGACCCGACCAAGAACAGTAAGCGGACTGAAGCACACGGGAGGGTAACGAGGGCAGTGCAAACACAGCCGACACAAACGAACATGATGGTGTAAAACCAAGCACACTGAACACAGAAACACAAAACATGGAGAAACGTGGACATGACAACACCGGCTTGACAACATGAAACATGCAGACAATAAACACATGACAAGAGACAACTTGTAAATCAGGAATTATAGAAGAAACAAAACCAGAATGAAACTCAACTAAATCCTAACTAATAATAGCAGCGCAAGAACTAAGCATACTTTCAAACATGGACTCCAAATGCTGAGTCACAGACCCCGACACAGGCTGCGTTACAGCTGATCAAAGTTTGGACCACATGACTTCAAAAGGCAAAAATGTGGATTTATTGTCATTGATGGCAAAAACTGCATTAAAATTACGTTTGAAGTAAAATGGTCATTTGGTACGAAGAGGAAACTGATTTACCCTGAACAGCTGGAGCCGACCCACAGTGGCCACAGTACATAATAAACTTATCATCATGTCAGTGATGCTGATGCTGCTTTGATGGAGCTCGGTCTAAACCCCGGGACACTGATCTGACCAAACAAATCTCATCTTTCACTCAGTTTGGATTCTGTGGACACAAACGGTCGTTATGAACATGAGAGGAAATGTGTGGCTGACTTTTACAGTAAGTGGAGATCGTTCTCCAAGAACACAGATGCACCGTGTTAAGCTGTCAGGCTTCAAAGGCCTCATTTGCTTCAATTAGACGTGATTTTCTTTCACTGAAACTTCGATGGGCATCCATCATGCATTATTTTGCAAATGGCTTGATTTTGTACTCCAGAGTGTAGACAGTGTTTCTACAGTCTGCACAAAACGGAGCCACTCAGAGACGCATTACTGCTCCTGAAAAAAAGGTCTCCCGTTCAAAGTAAAAGCATCAATATAGCCAAATTTCCAGTCCCTTTGAAGCAGCAGCTCTTCTCTTGAGACTAAACTTATAAGAAGCGAGCTTATTACTGGAAGGTCACAGATTCACTCGAGAGAAGAAGAAAGGATTGTTTCCTCTCGTTCTAAAGTGCTCCTGTGGGCGTCTATTGGATAACGTCCGACGTAGTAAATGTAGCGTCTGAAAAGTGTCAGTAATGTATTACTGCATCCAGTAGTTGCACTTGTGAGGCAGTTAAGTGTACAAGGTTGTGAAGCTTACCTTGTATCATTCAGTCCTTTTTGTATAGCTATACAAACATTATATTACAGGCAGTATTAGAGGGAAAATCACAACAGTGGAAAGGAAGAACCCCTTTGACTCGAAGAGACCTACAGCAGAGGTCTGCCAGGACCGGTTGGGGTGGGGGCGAGGACAAAACTCTGGCAGCAGTGGTGTGATCTGGACATACATGCTCAGTTTTAAAGATCACGTGAGAACATAGACACGTCTTTTTGACTGAAATGTTACGCTTAGTGCCGTCTTCCATCCTGTGCTGAGCTTTAAAGACTTTTCTCTCCCACTGTGTGCTGTGTCCCTCTCCTCTTCTGCTCACACACTCACAGGAGCGGTGCTGATGCTGAAGGGCTCTGTGTTACGCTTCAGCTTCTTGGACTGCATGGGAGCTCTCATTCTGACCCCCTACGAGGTTTGGCGGGACCACAACGCCCCCGAGGACCCAGACCGACCGCGGAGGCGCAAGCTGGTCCACTTTTCGCCATCGTCCTCCCAGGACGCCTGCGGAGACGGACACTTGGCTGTGGTGTGCTCTGAGAGGCAGGCCAAAGTGTTCCTGATGCCCTCGCAGTCTTGCCTGTTTGTCCACAACATCACAGAGTCGTCCTTTGTGCTGAGGGCTGACGTGGTGTCTGTGTGTAACAGCGTGTGCCTCGCCTGCTTCTGTGCAAACGGACACGTCATGACGCTCAGGTATGACCACGGCCGCTCGAGTTCTCTGTCATTAGATGTTTGTTTTAATCTGCACACGCTGTAGCACGGCCTACTTTAAAGCCTGCTCTGTCAGGGCAGCTATCATTTCTGTGTTTGCACTGTTAAACTGAACGTGGATGCAGTAGCAGCTTTTTCCTTTTCACAGGTAAGGATACTTAATCTGAACCCGTCTTCTCCATGCAAGTGAGAGCGTTTTGGTGCAGAGGAAATCTGAGAGTTACATGTGACTCTATGCAAGGGCCACTCACTGGGTGGATGCTAAATGGTCTGGCTCTATCCGGTCTTTAAGTGATGATGTGATGAACCTGCTTCCGAGTCCAAACTACTGTGTTTATTAAGGCTGCTGTGTTTTTAACATGTTTTGTATTTTGTTCTATTTAATCTGAACAAGCCCCTAAAAACAGTCAGTGATCACTGTCGGCCTCTCTCGGTTTTTATCACCACTGTTCATTTTAAAGCTCAGTTTTAAACCCTCACGATGTAACTACAGCCCCATGCAGCAGTATATTAATGACAAACCTCGTATTGTGGATGGATTATCTCAGTTGTTCTCCTGACTGAAGTTTGGTCCGTTTACAGCATCCTGCCATGCGATAGCATTTGTCCCTAACCACCAGGAACCCTCACGTTAACTTTTATCGAGTGGAAAAAAGTTAGCGTTCATCCTCCAGCTTCACTGTGTTTATGCTAGGCTAACATAGCTGTGTCGCTAGCGATCACGTAGCACATCATTATATACCAGCTAGCCCAACTTCAGTAACCCTACAAACGTCACTGCTGTTTAGTTTCCTGTCTTCATTTATGTTGGAAATGATAGCAGAGCTGTACGTTTGAATTCTTCACAAATCTCTCAGTCAGAACATGGTATATCATGTTATCATGCTATATCAAGCTAGCGAGCTAACTTCCTGCTAACTTCTAACTCTGTTAAACTTAATAAATTCTGTTTTCATGGATGTTAAACTTAATTGTTACACCTGGTAAAGCAGCAACACTGATAATTTTATTAAAGATGAAAAAATTTAGACAGTTTGTAACTCTCAGTGATGCCGCAGTGTTCGTTTGACTAATGACGTCAGACTTAAAGACCGGATTCGTACAGTTTACCTCTGAGACTACAGCCTATGAAAAGCTGCTTTGTTACCAAAGATTAGAAAAGAAACATAATAATGATTTCTTTCTTTTTATTCTGATGTTCAGTGTAGTTTACTTTTAAAGCTCGGTAATTATTGCACAGCTGTTCTTACCTTTCATCACTCTTTCATTCTGCCCACAGTCTGCCCAGCTTAAGACCGCTCATGGATGTCAATTACCTGCCTCTGACAGACATGCGCATTGCAAGAACCTTTTACTTCACCAATGGGGGGCAGGCACTGTATCTCAGCTCCCCCACAGAGGTCCAGAGAATTACATACAGCCAGGAGATGTGCGATAACCTGCAGGTCAGCACTAGGGCTGGCAAAATTGGCCATTTGGCAATCATCCCCTCCTTCTGTTGCTGATGGCCAGTGAATTATCTGCCATCTTCTCTGATTACATCCTTCGTGCAACTTCTAAAATTCTTTTTTTTTTTATTGCAGGAAATGCTGGGAGAGCTGTTTACACCAATAGAAACACCAGAAGCCCAGAACCGAGGATTTTTAAAAGGCTTCTTTGGAGGAAATGCCCACACCTTTGACAGAGAAGAGCTCTGTGCGTTGTCTGTCTACATTATTTTCTCAATATAAAGCATTCAAGAATGCATGACACCATATTATACTGCTAATAATAAGACATGAATGTCTTTAGCCTGCACATGGCAGATTACATAAGATGTACTTCCTGATTTTGTGGCTTTGGTTGTGAGACTAGCACTCGCTCTAACCAATAAGAGGTCGCGCAGTGAGACGGGGCGATGTGAGAACACCTTAAAAGTTTTCTTAAGTTGAAAATACTCAGACTAGTTTAACTTTTATCAGATGAGGCAATCGCAGTCAGAGCGAACACACAATGTTGGCAAACAATGACAAACAGTCAGTTGGCAAAATTAGGAGGCGTGTCTGAAGAACCCCAGGGTGCGTTTGATTTCCACACCCCTGTCATTCTGTCTCGTTCCAACAGTCGGCGAGGCTGCGGCTGGGAAGGCTTCTCGGAGTCTTGCGCAGCACATCCCTGGACAGGGAGGAGTGGAGGGCATGAAGGTCGCCGCTAGTGGAGCGGTGGGCGAGCTGGCGAGGGCGCGCATTGCTCTGGATGAGAGAGGCCAGAGGCTGGGGGAGCTGGAGGAGCGCACCGCCCTAATGATGACTAGTGCAGAAGTCTTCTCCAAGCACGCTCATGAGGTGAAAATGAAACATAACATGATGTGAAAATAGAAAGAGCATCTAAATGTACAACTTTGATTTTGAGACATTAACAAAAACTGAACTGAAGCCAACAAAAGTGGTTATTAAATGATTCTCTTGTTGGCAAATCAATAATTTACTTCCCAATGCAATAAAAAGAAATGCTCTCAAGCTGTCAGTCCTTCTCATTGAGAAGATGTCCTTTTGTATCTTTTCCAGCTGATGCTGAAATGCAAGGACAAGAAGTGGTACCAGTTCTAATAGCAGGACGGGGGCCTCGGTCTGCCCTCATGCTGCTTGGAACGATATGCCGCGACGGGACTTTCACTTCAAAAATGAAAGCATTCAAAGAGAGGCACAGTGACTTTGTCTTTATGGCTTCTGGCTTG